GCAGGTTTTACATTTCTTATCCTGGCATGGTCTGGATCCATTTGGTGTGCTTTGAGCCATAGGAAGTTTGATTCTGGTGATGAGGTTTGTGAGGTTTGATGCTTAAAAAGGCTAGGATGGGTGGTTGTGGAAAGATCTCTTTAAGAAAGTAAGATTCTCTTTAAGAAGATTTCATCTAGTGCACTAAATTCCCAGATAGAAAATATGTAGGAGGAACCAAACAACAACTGTGTACCAGAATAAACATACACCAAAAAATCGATCAAAGACAGGAATACCCAATTACATGTGGGGGCCAGTTTCTCACAAGACAACCACTCTCTCTCCAATCTCTCAATTCTAATCTTCAAAGGGAATTTACAAAACACTCCTGGATAAAAAAAAAAATCATGGACTAAATATAGACATTGGATTTATGACGCATTATAACCTGGCTGCCACCTGCCAGCCAGCTAACCTCTCTACATTTCACGAGATACATTCTATCACCTGGTCAACTTTCCCTCCTTGCCTTCCCCCCGTCCCTCCCGGGTCTGACACCTATTGTCTACCGTTCCCTCGGATCCTCACAGCTACTCATTTGCATTTTCACAGACCTACATTTTACATTTTGGCTTTGATTCCACCATGGAGAACACATAACACCAGCAGACTCCCCCTATGCCTCAAGAAGGTTTTTTGTGCCTGAAAGCTTGCAAAAAACAATTTTCAACTAGTTGGTCTAATAAAAGATATCACATTTGCCCAAAGAACCTTGCCTGCCTGACACTTTTCTGACATTGATTCAATGATGCAGTCCTGGGATAATAGTTTGGATGTGCTTCACAATGTCCCAAGACAAAATGTTAACACTTCTTATCCTGTGAGCCTGTTTAGGGTTTAACTCAGGACAAAGATACGGACTTCTGAATGATGAGACAAATGCAACATCCCCTGAGACAAATGCAGCATCTGTTCATAGCCCATGAGAATGCTCTAGGAATTTCGTAAGTGCTGCTAACATGTTAACTAGGCTAAAAGATCACCACCAAGGCACTTGCTACCCTCAGTAAACAGGAAAAATAAAAGTCCCCAGTGCTTAAATTTATGGAAATGAAGGCACTGACCCTGCAATACTAAATTCACTGATGTAATCCTGACAATTTATTTATTTATATTTAAAATCCCCTTAATAATTAAAAAAAAAAATTACAGCAAAGAAAATGTCCAATCTTCTGCTTTATGAGCTTGATATGTTGAACTTTCAATTAACTTCAGTGAGAACTGGCACTTACCAGTAAACTATTGAATGCATATGTCTAACAGCTATATGCAGACCATTCATTTATTATCTAGATAGATTAATCATAAAAGGCTTCCTAAAAGTAGGGCAATTTAAATGGAAATCTGAATGAAGGAATGCAGTTTGAATGGTAGACTCAAACTATCATTGTAAAGTACTAGCAAATTGCCCATCAAAAATGATGGCGGGGACAGAGGGGGGATGAGGCCAGTGCCACACCACCACCACCCTGCACTGCTGCCACCTCGAAGGAGCAGGGCTGGGGGCAATGAGACCAGTGGCGTTGGCTTCACCCCCACGTCCATCCGCTCCGTCCCCACCATCATTCCCACCTCACCTCCATGTCCAGCCCCACACCACCCCTCTTCCTCCCTCTCCTTCACTTCCGTCCCCTCCATCATGGCAGCACTCCATCTCCACCGTCATCCCTGATGGGCAATTCACCCTGCACACAGCACTGGCTGGAGCCACGCTTCGCCAGGAGCCACGCCCCCCAGGAGCATTATGGACAGACAGACACACACAGACAGACTAAACCCTTTTTATTGATAGAATAGTATAGATATGCCTTTGCAGGTATTTATAATAATACAGTTTTGTTTTGAAATGACATTCATTCAACTATACTACAATGTTAAATGGATTGCAGAATCGGTATGGCTGGTATTTTCACTTTTAACTCTTTCCGTATCACTGTAGCACATGGCAGTCTAGCTGCAATTTGCACATACCAGTATACTAAGCTTTCTGAAAAACCTAGCAGTCTGTATCTATCTATCTATCTATCTATCTATCTGTCTATTACGTGAAATTAATAAAGGCCTGATTCAAAGCCCACTGACATCTGAATAAGAATTCTTCTATGAATTTTATTGAATTTTGAATCAGACCAAGTACACGCATATGTGCCTAGTCCCTATAAAATGAATGTTTATATTTGAAAGTGGAAGTACTGAAAAAAATAACATTGGCTCATGATTTTTATATTGTATAACTAAGCAAATTTTAGAGTTCTGATCATTTCCTGTGTCCAAGAATTGCAAACACAATAATCTCTCTTCAATTTTAGAGATTGTCTCATTTTTGCATATTACATTTATGAGGTATGCAGAATCCACAACCCCCTGATGGACCTTGGAAAAATAACTGAATCATTTGCGTTTCAGTTTCCTCATCTCTAAAATGGGGAGCGTCAGAGTACAGACCCCATTGCAAAAGAGATATTGAACATTATCTCATTTCTTTGGGTACAAGTATATGAAAAGGCACTGAATTGGGATACAGAATCTCTTCATTTAAATCTTGCCTGTGAGATCCCTGGTCTCTCCATGTGTGTGCCCATTCTACATCTGTAGAAAGGTTCAAATACCTTTGATCTGTTTTATCTATTTGGATGATTAGATCTTTAGCAGGCGACTGTGACTGTTTTGTTCTATGGTGCATGTATGGCATTAAACAAATCGGGCCCCTGATGTCAGTTAGAGACTCAGCAGTACAAATATAAATGATTGTAATTAATTACAGGCCTTATTCAATTACCATTAAAGTAAATTCAAAGACTCCCATTGACTTTAATGGAGGTGGGATTTGGTCATCTTGCTTTTATAAGGCTTTGTGATTCTTAGATTAAAGTTCAAAGTATAATATTACTTGTATTATTATTATTATCCTGGCCATTCTGTTTGCAAAGGGATGCTGACTTCAGCTTGTTGTTGCCTATGTGTATAACAATGATATTAATGATTTCTTTTTTCCCTTCCTGGGCAGGATTTATGCGGGCATCATTCATGTGATACTCTGGGAATGGCAGACGTTGGGACCATATGCTCCCCTGAGCGCAGCTGTGCAGTGATTGAAGATGACGGCCTCCATGCAGCTTTTACAGTGGCTCACGAAATTGGTATGTAGTGCCTTTTCTGTTCCCTTGCCAAATCAAACACTTGTAACAGCTGCATTAGTAACCAAAATACTTCACAATTAATTCCAGATTTCCCCTGGTTCAGATACACACTTGGGGATTAAAGCTGTATACATATTCACTTTGGGGTTAACTAATAAGGGATCAGAAGGCAAGTGAAGGCGCACAGTAGGTGTTTCCTTTCTGACAGCGTTACTTTTAAGTAGTAGCTGAAGTGAAAATGCAAGGCCTGCTGCTACTGTCCACACATGTCAATAAGTGTCCCTTCTGAGAAAGTGTTGGTCCTGTCTATTATAGTTTATGTGCATTTGGTATGCATTCAATGCTAAATAACTCACCTTACTGAGCAAATGACAAGTTAACGTAATGAACACTCACTCAGAATGTTTTATGGACTGCAGAGAGGACTGAAATTGGCTTTCTTGAAGTGGACAAATACTGAGATTAGTGTTACCCTATTAAAATTTTAATTTTATGGTGAAATGTCATAGTGACACCAGTTCTGAACTAGATGAAACAGTATTTAGGTGCCAAAGACTTGATTTCAAAAATCACTTAACTGTGTGTCAACTAGAGCCTCAAAGGATAATAACTTACATTAAAAATCCACAATATGCCCTTCAGAAATCGACATTTAAGACTGATTTAATGAGGGGAAAGAACCTGTATTCTTGTGAGTTACATCTAGTATGATGTATTCCTTGAAATAGACTGCTGCCACCTTAGTCATTTTTAATTTATCAGTACATCATGTGCTATGTTCACTGAAGATATATTTTTGTGTATACAGGCTATTAAGCTTTGCAGAGTAAAAAGCAATTTAAAAATGGAAAATATTCTTTCTCTCTCTTTTTTTTAACATTCTTGGAAGGAAATAACAAGGCAAGGGGAACTTTCAGAGAGTGCCAACTCATGAATTACCTTGTACCTCATGCCAAACCAAAGTAAAGTTTGCTTTGGGAGTATCATTGCTGTAGTTCAATTTTCAAATAGGTAACAGGTAGGGCAGACAAGTTCTGTGTCTACTGTACCTAGACCGGTAATCAAAAGTTATTAAAACTGAAACAACTGTTTTCATATTAGTATCTCTAGTCTGCTGATTCTCAACCAGGTTGTTGCAGCATCCTGGGGTTCCTTGAAATCTTTTTGGGATGCTGCAGAATGCCACACAATCCTAAGCAAGCAGACATGATTCACAAGATAAAACAAACAATTTAAAAAAAAATCCATAGTGTTAAAAAAATTCTGACCTGTTATGATCTTTCAGAGTTTTTTGCAATAGAAAATTTGCTGTATTATTTTTCAGTTGTCAAAAAATGAGTGAAAACTAAGAGATGGCATTTTCTGAGGAGTGCCTTGTGCCTAACAAAAGGTTCCTTGAGTCTAAAAAGGTTGAGAACCACTGCTCTAACCCCTTGAGCCCTACCCAACGGTGAGAAACTAACCCAAACACTTGTACAATACCAAAGTTAAACTTAATAAAAGGAAGTACGAGCTGTATCTCTTGCTGTAGAAAAGTTGCGGTATAAAATTCTGAAACAGGAAAGAAGGAGTCTAGGGCTTGGTCACCTGTTCATAGCATTAGCAGATAAGTGTCACTATGTGATAGGTTTTCATTGGCCTTAACTGAAACGAACTGGGTGGCCTAAACCTATGTCTCAGGAGGTGTGTTGACATCACAAAACCTACTTTAAGAACTGGAACTGATTCAGACTCTGGTTGCTATCCTTACCAGAATGGTCACTGTTTGATCCAGACTTAATTATCCTCTAACCCTCTAGGCTAAGTACAGACAGTCAAAAAGCCCAAGGCTGAATTGATTCAATCTTTCCAGGTTAGTCTAAGCTGTGTAGATTGAACCAATGAGCAAGTGAACAGACATTCACTCTTGATTCTGGAAATTCAGCTACATGTCTGCAGTGGCCCAGGCCAGAAGCTGAGGGTGCTAGAGCATGCCTCCCTGCATGGTTGGAGCAGACAGTGTGGGCCAAGGCTAGCCTGCCCACAGTTCAAGGTGTGGTTTGTGGGGGAGGTGCAAAGAATCCTGGGATGATGGGGGACTGTGAGTTAACTTGAATCTGGAGGGGATCTGGGGCAGAAGTTCAGTAAACCAATCTAACATGAATCAATTAAGTCTGATACTGCATCCATCCAGGTTTTTCTTAAACCACAAAATGTCCAAAGTCTTGGCCATTTTGAAAGTGGTTTATGTGTACTGAACTTCTGTTGTGTTATAGTTTTGAACCAGTTTCTGGTCACTTATAATGATTTATGTGTAATTTCTGCCCCTAGCCCTAGTGGTGGTACTTCCTGCTAAAGGTTAATGCACAATAGCAGAATATGATGGTGAAGTTCACTTCACTGCCCCTCATCCTATGCCTGTTGCATAGATAAGCAGAGGACTTTTCTCCAGGCTTTCAGTCCAGTTCCATTCACCAGCAAAATGTTCACATAATATTTTGAAACATTAAACATTAAATAGTTGAATAAAGAAAGGAATGAGTTATAAGTGTACATATCATAGCCTTACACTCCATGAGAAGAAAATATAAACAGGAATGAATTATTTTTAGTAATTTGGAAGCAGGTTTTGTAAAAGAGCCACCTTCTTACCTAGAAGTTTACATGAACTTGGAAAAGCTATAATTTTAAATATAAAAACAGGCAAGAATTGAAATTGGTGGATAAATAAGGACCTCAATGGGCACAAAACTGTAGTTTTAAGTTGTTTAAACTAACAGCCATTTTTCCCTTGCTATGAGATTTTAAGAAAGAAGGGGGTGTGTAGTCACAAAATAGTCTTTGTGTCTGTTACCCAAAATGGGAGAAGCTGAGAAAAAAACACAGCTAAAATTGCTTACTTTGGGAACTTACATGAAATTAAAGGTCAAAGAAGGATGAAAAATAAAAGTGTGGTGTGGATATCCTTTAGTTAAGCACTTTGGGAAAAACCCTGCTGTATCTTAACTGAAGGTTAGATTTCTTCTGTCAGTCCTGAAGTTTTAAAATTCCCTGTCCTGCCTGAAGGAAGTACCTTTCATTTTACAGGAACTTCAGTAGGATTTACCACACAGATTAGGAAATACCCTGCAATAAAGGAAGACATTTTAAGGGCTCCAAGCTTTGCTGATCCTGTCTATTAAAAAAATCACCCCAGCCAGTTAAGCAAGCAAATTGGATGCATTATCTGCAATTTCTTAAAGGGATTCATGAGATATTAGATGAGAAACCAAATGGGCAGTTAATTAATATGGGCCTGATCCTGTAAATGACTAAACAACCTCAAAAGGAGTTTAATAAGTTTATGGAAGGGAAAGGATGACAGAAAGTGTGTGTGATGCATAGAGTTGTTTGGTATTCTCAAGTTGCAGAACAGAGTGGAGGGTGTTTGTTTTTCCCCCATGCTTCTGGGCTTTGCTGGTGGCCACATGGGGCCAAGAAGGAATTTTTCCCCCCTCCTGTTCCTAGTAGAAGTGTTGGGGTGAGAAGAGGTTTGCCTTCCTCAGAAGCATTAGGTATTCACTACAACCAAGGTGAGGGACTTTAACTGGAGTGTGCCAGTGCTCCTGCTAGAACTAAAAAAAGGCCTTAGGTTCCTGGTTAGAGTGTGTTGCCCCATCACTCAGGGTCAGACTGATCACCACATCTGGGATCAAGAAGTAATTTTATTTCAAAGCTGATCCAAACCACAGGGAGTTTTGTAGCAACAGGGTACAGAAGAAGTATTCTTCCATAGCAACAGGTTGCAGTCTTTTTCCTTGGATTTCTTGAGCATGTTTTAATAACCTTGCAGGCTATGGACAGAAGTTACACATAAACTGGTTTAAGTGATCGGAAACTGGTTTAAACCTGTAACAGAACTTAAGTTCAGTGCACATAAACCAGTTTCAAAATGGCTGAAACTAGTTTAAGATGAACATGGCTGAATGTAATATCAGACTTAACTGATTTGGGTCAAACCAGCTTATGGAATGTTTGTCCCAGACCTCTTGCTGTTTTAAGTTAAATCAGAGTCCCCCAACATCCCAGCATGCTTTTCAGCCCTGGGCTGGGCTGTCTGCTCTAGAAAACGGGGCTGGCCCTACCTCCTCTCCTCCCTAGCCAGATCTCCAGCTGACTGAGAAGGAGAAGGAGGTGGAAACTGCAGGCACAGCAGCACCTGCCCAGCTTCCCCCTGCCCCATCTTATCCTCACTCACTGCTCAAGCAGGGATCCCCCCTCTCCCACAGCCAGGACCCCAGTGGCATGGGCCCCAGCTGGCATCTGGCCATGCTACCTCCATGCTGCTGAATGCTGACAGGTGTCTATATGTGTGTGTTTCCAGTTTCACTGAAAAAAGGCAAATAGAACAGTGTCCACTTAGGGCTTTTTGGAACTAATAAACAGGCCAACTGATAATGGCCCTCCATTCTTCTTTACAAATACCTTGGGAAAAGCTGTTTAAGAAGAGCTTGAACTCATAAGAGTGAGTCTTGTTTTCTTGATGGGCAGATAAGCTCCCTGCTGGCTACTGGCTTGCTTGCTTTGAAGGCCAAAATCAACAGTGTTCAAAAGGAGACAGAGAGACATGTGAGAAATGACCTGGTTTGCAATGCATGGAACCTGTGAATGGCATCAGTTTGCTGCAGACACTATGATGAAGGAGGGAAATTGAAAAGCTCAGTATCATCAACAGATGCATGCACTCCACACAAGCAGTCCTCCCTGCCCTCCCCAGCTTTGCCTCATGTGGGCCGGGGTCTGGAAGACTCCCTGCCCCTTGAGCAGTGAGTGGGGAAAAGCCTGGCAAGGGCTGCTTTCACCTCCCTCTCCAGGCACACCCTGGCTGGGGCTGTGCATGCCAGGGTTGGGGTTTAAACCCCTCCCTAATCATAGCATCCTGCCGGGCACACCCCCACCCCCCATCTCAGCACTTTGAAAGGGAAGGGAGGGGTTGCTCTAGCACTCCCACCCCCAGCTTCTAGGCTAAGCCACTGCAGGCA